CCCCCGTCAGGCAACATAATTTTTTGTGCCCCTCCCCCTCACTCCATGGCAGTTACACACACACACACACACACACACACACACACACACACACACACACACACACACACACACACACACACACACACACACACACACACTGATCACCCATTGCTCCTGATTGTAGGTGAAATGTTGTGAGCACCTCTAGCCATCATGTTTATTTTGAGCTAACAAAGGCACCATTTCTTTTTATTTCTTAATATTCTTATCTTATCATGCAACTTGTTTAAATGTGTATGCGTGCACATGGACGTCGTTTAGACTTTAGAAGTGGGGAACACAACAGGCATGAGGACACGTTAGCAATTATCAGCTGAGCCGATAGGTGAGCTTGTGGACGGCTCTAATGGGAAACAGGCTTCAACACAAGCAGTTGGTTTCCGCCTGGTCCTAGTGCTCAACCAGTGTCTATTTATTACAGCGTAATATTGTTTTTGGATGGTAAAAAAAGTGCAGGGCACAAACATTGACTTTGCAAAAAATGTGTGTGTGTGGGGTGGTGGTGGTGTGTGTGTGTGTGTGGGGGGGGGGGGGGGGGGGGGGGGGCATTGTAACAGTTCTGCTGTTATTTATTATTACTGTGGAGCTGTAGTCATTTTCCAACTGTATGCTGGACTGAAGTAGGGAACATCTGTTAACATGTTAGCTCCACCAAACTTTTCACCAGCTGTTAGAGGTTTGTCCTCGTTTCCTACTGTATTCAACGTTAATCCAGGGCTGGGGCGTGTCCAGGGAGTGGCCTGGGGTAGCACATGCCACCCTTGGAATCTGATTGGCCACCCCAGGTGCCACCACACTAATTTACCTTTAAATGGCTTTTTGTTGTCCAAAAAAGGCTTGGGGGTAAAACAAAAATAGCATAACCACTGGTGCCACCCATGCACAACGTTGTGCCTCACCGGGGCCACCCCATTTTAAAAGATCTGGACACGCCACTGATCCAGGGGCAATGAAGGCTTTGTCTTATTCTTTCGTCTTTTTTTCTGCCGACAGCCGGCTCTTCAGCTATTTACCATCTCACCTCATGTCCTCCTGTGTGTGTTTATGTGATCTTCCTCTGCTGGGTTAAAACCAGGCCTCCAAAAATCTGGGGTGAAAATGAAGTCGTCTGAAGCTCAGCTGTGATGTGGCTCACTTCTAGTTCCTGAAAATGGTGCACCATGGCTTTCTTCCCCCAGAGAACAACTTACACAGCACCCTACTAGAGACCCCTGCAAATGCTTTAAACGAGTAAGCCACATCTTTAACTGAATTTTCCAACAAAGGTCTGGAGATTGCAGAAAATTCTTTGTCAAAAGGAAGATTCTGCCCTTTATTACACACATTTGTACCAAGGAGGCAGTAAGTTCTTTATTTTTATCTTAACTCTTATTTTATCTTTGTGAATTTTTATTGCGCTCGCGAAATGTGTTGTGGTCTTTAGCTGAAACTGAGCTTTAAATAAACCTTCTTTCCCCCCCCCCCCCCCCCCCCCCCCCCCCCCGAGGCTGTTTCTTGTTTTTCAGCAGAGCCTCATTAACGATAGATGCTTTACTTTGTGGTTCAATAAAATAAATCCTCAAGCATAATTTACTAGATGTTGAGGGAAATCGTGGCAGGTCTGCTCATGCTATTTGTTTCTCATACCAGGATTGAGAGTGGGAGTGTCGTGGCAGTTTCATGCACTGAGTGGATTGTTGGCTAAATCTATTTCTACTTTAGTTGAAAGAAAGATGACGATTCAACAAGACTAACCTCGTCGTTCAATTATTCTCAGCTGTTTGCTGCTCCTTCTTCACAGGTCGAATGAGGACAGAAATAGTTTTAGTGTCTTTGTTTTCATTTCTGGAACTGAATCTAAACTGGGCAGCTTCTGAGGTTATTTTCCGTCCTTTCACTGGAAGGAAGGTTACCTATAGGATGATATATCAGAGTCACTGACCGGACAAAAGGGTAAGAACGAAGTTTTAAGTTGAAATGTCAAGAACAAGGTCTAATAATACATTTTTTAAAGCGCCTTTCAAGGAACTCAAGGTTGCTGTACAAAATAATAAAAATCAAGTTAAAAACAAGTTGAACAAATCACTCATAAACCCTCCCAGGGAGTACAGATCAAAAGTCAGAAAATTAAAACCGAATTCCAGAGTCGAGGAGAGAAACTGAAGGATTTGAGGCCCGTGGAGGTAAGCTGGAAGGATGGAACATTAAGGTGGAGAGAGGATGACTGTCTTAGGGAGCGGACTGCAGAAACAATATGAATGTGATCAGATAGATATGAGGGGGAAGATTGTGAACAGCTTTGAAAGCAGGACTTTGAACTCGATCCGTTGTTTAACTGGGAGCCAATGGAGTTGCTGAAGGACCGGGCTGATGTGGTGATAAGAGTTCTGCTGATGACCCGTTTGGCAGAGTTCTGAACTAACTGGAGCTTGTGGAGGCTTTAGTCCAACAAGAAGTGAGTTACAATATTCAATTCAGGAAGTGACTGAATGAGAATAGAGGCAGGATGGGGAAAGAGAGAGGGGCGAAGGTGATTAATATTACCAAGGTGAAAATAGGCTGACCTAGTGATGCTATTGATATGAGATTTAAATGAGAAAGTGCTGTCAAGGATGACACCCAGGCTCTTACCCTGAGGGGAGGGAGGACTAGTGGAGGAGTCAGTAGTAAGTGAAAAACTGTCAGCATTTAATAAGATGGATTTACTTTCAACAAGTAAGATTTCTGTTCTGTTACTGTTTAATTTAAGGAAGTTTATGGAGAACCATGATGTCAGTTAGACAGGAGGCGAGGGAGGGAGGGAGGATTTAGGTTTGGAAGAAAAAGTAGAGCTGATTGTCATCCGCAAGCACCGTTAACTGAATGTAAAATTTCCAGAATAAGTGACCTAGTGGAAGAAGGTAAATAATGAATAGAAGAGGCCCCAGGAATGAGACCTGGGGCGCACCTCTAGTAACTTGGGAGGGGTCAGATTTGAAGGATTTGAGTTGTATGAACTGAGAATGACCAGAGAGATAAGAGTGGAACCAGCTGTTATGGGAAATGCCGATGGATGGGAGTCTGTCGAGGATAATAGAGTGTGAGATGGTATCGGCTGAGCTCGGATCAAGAATGAGGATGAGAGTAAACCAGAATCAGCTACAGTATGAAGGTCATTGGTGATTTTCACACTGTGACCAGGATGGAAACCAGAACCAGGACCTGAAAGGGTTCATAAAGTTGGTTAAAGGATAAATGAGAGCAAAGTTCAGACAACAACTTTCTCCCAAATTTTTAAACAACAGGTAAGTTAGAAATGGGGCGCAAGTTTTTCAGTATAGGAGTGCCTGCAGCAGTTTCAAGTTGAGATGGAACTATACATGTTGTGAGAGAGGAGTGGATGATGGGAGACTAGTCTTAACTAGAGTTGGTGGAAGGCGATCAACAAGACAGGTGGTAAGCTTAGACTTACTGATCAGACGGCAACAACAAAAAGGTTGACAGTGTGAAAAAGAAGATGGCTGGAGAAAAAGTGGAGGACCAGGGGATAGTTGCTGATGAGTGTTAGAATGTTGTTTCATTGAAAATCAGTAACAGAGATTGACAGGTGTCAGCAGAGTACATGTGTGGGGGTGAGGAACTGGGCGGTCCTGAAAAATACTCGATTTGGGAGTTACTATGGAGGCTTTGTTTTGCAATAAATTGGACAGGAAGAAGAAGAAGAAGAAGAAGAAGAAGAAGAAGAAGAAGAAGAAGAAGAAGAAGAAGAAGGAAGAAGAAGAAGGAAGAAGGAGGAAGAAGGAAGAAGGAGGAAGAAGGAAGAAGGAGGAAGAAGGAAGAAGGAAGAAGAAGAAATCTTTTCTATAGCGCCTCTCGAGATAGAAATCACGAGGTGCTTCACAAAAACTGTAAAAATATCAAAAAGAATTTAGAAAATGGTTAAAATATATTTAAAATGAGCAAAAAATAGACAATTGTGATCAAAAAATATAAAGAAAGAGAGAGAGTGAATAGGAAAGAGGTAAATCAGTGGATCCTGAGGAAGGTGGAATAGGTGGGGAGAGCAGAATACAGAGAGGGTGGTGAAGAAGGTCATACAAAATCCAGCTTGAACAAAGCAAAATTCGGGCAGAGTTCTTTGTGACTGGTGAGCCCAGTTCTTTTATAGAGATGCTCAAATTTTTGAGTTTTGGATTTTAATGCACAGGAGTAAACTACGGAGGACTCGAGGAGAAGGATGCAAGTTGGATTTTCTCAGGAGCAAGAGACTTCAGGACGCCATTTAGGACGTTGTTGTTGTGGGCAAAAATTAGTTCATCAGCTGGAGGGATGGTTTGCGATTAGTTAGTTGTCGATTTTGGTGCAAACAACATCCATATCAATACATCTATAATATTCACAGAAAACAATGGAATGCTCAAATAGAACTCAAATGTATTTGTTCTGCTTTTATCATAATTATATCTGAGAGTCTGAGACATGTCTTCACTGGATAAAAGTTAAAAAACGTAAAATGAAGCATTTTATTGTCTTCAAGATGCAGTTTTTTTATCCTCTGGTTACACTCATTTTAGAAAATTTAAATGTTTGTGGGAATGCGCTTTAGGCTCTTATTGTGAAAAACTGAAGGAAGTTAGATTCCAGCTGCAGCAATAGAGGCGGTCAAAAGATGGTTCCTCAAATTCAAAATTCAAAACGATCCAGAATATTTGGTTCGAAAAGTAATAAAATCAAAAAGGTTCAACTGAAGGCAACTGGAAACCAAAGAAGTCCAGTTGCCTTCATGTGAACCCTCTGGGATTACCTACCATGACCTGGATGACTGAGAACCTTCACCTGCACAGTTAAAACAAACAAGTGCAGTCTTAATGGTGCTAATTCACCGCCATAAATACTTCATTGCTTTTTCACTTATTCTGTCAGAATGCATTATTATTCTGTATTTTCTCATAAAACTAATAATTAGTGAAAATGACTGGTTGTATTTGTTCTCTCTGCAGAGCACAGAGCAGGTCACTGCTTTCTGTAGGAGTCTCCATGACATGAACCCCCGGGAGTCCCCCATGTCGTCTTCCTCATCGTCGTCTTCGTCCTCCCTGTCCCAGAGCCCTGTGTCCCCGCTACCATCTGCAGCAGGCACCTCTACCCAGAGACAGCTCTCCCATGCGGACAAACTGCGGAAAGTCATAAATGAGTTGGTGGAGACGGAGAAGACTTATGTCAATGTGAGAGCTCTCGTGTTTTATTGCTCTGATTTTAATGCCTCAGCCTTTTTGCTGACACGTCACACACTTGTTATTTTCTGAGCTGAAATTCCCGACATACCTTTGATGGAAAGAAAGGACTTGTTTTCCTGTCATTTAAATGACCTGCCATTGTTGTAGTTCCACTAGACATTCCCATCGAAGTTTTGCACATTCCCTAACTCATTCCTCCCTGACCTCATGGCAAATTTTATTAATAACTGTCGTTCCTTTCAGGACCTGCGGTGTCTAATAGAGTGCTACCTGAAGCCTTTGCAGAAGGAGAGCTTCCTAACGCAGGATGAGGTACTGTCTGTCTGATTTGTGTCCAACAAGGATGAAAAAGCTTTAGGAGTACTGACGCCATCCATCTGTGTATTTACAGCTGGACGTTTTGTTTGGGAATCTTGGAGAAATGGTGGAATTCCAGGTGGAGTTCCTGCGAACCTTGGAAGATGGGATTCGATTGGTGCCCGATCTGGATCGGCTGGAGAGGGTGGAGCAGTTCAAGGTTGGATTGTTTTGAGTCTTTAAACTCTGCTCAGGTCTTTCCAACCTAATGTTGAAACATTCCTGCTTTGTGCTGACTCGTTTCCATTGACTAATGCTGTGATCTGCGGTCTTGTAACTTCAGAAGGTTCTGTTCTCTCTGGGTGGATCATTCCTATATTATGCGGATCGCTTCAAAATCTACAGTGCTTTCTGTGCCAGCCACACAAAAGTCCCAAAGGTCTTGGACAAAGGTAAAAATGCTGGTTGTCTTTGAATTCCTCTGTCAAATTTCAAAGTTAAAATGGCAGTTTCCTTCTAGATCCAGTTTAGTTAGCCTTTTTCTTCGCACCGGTGAATTATCTTGTTCTCTCTTCTCCAGCTAAAACCGACCCAGACTTTAAAGCTTTCCTGGCTGAGAGGAACCCCCGACAGCAGCACTCCTCCACTCTGGAGTCCTACCTGATCAAGCCCATCCAGAGAGTCCTGAAGTACCCGCTTCTCCTGAAGGAGCTCTACTCTCTCACTGACCAGGACAGTGAAGAACACTACCACCTAGATGGTAAAACACCACCCTATCACTTGTTAGCTCTAGGACTGTGTCCAGATTCAGGGGTGGCGTTCTCATCCTACCTGGTCCTTGTAGGTCGGGTGCTACCTCGAGCGCTAAGACCAGAAGTGAGCGGTGGTGAATTTGAGCGATCAAGCCCAAATTCCAACATTTAAATATAGAAATGTAACTTGACATTTAAAACTGTAATCTTCTTCCACTTTGTTTAATATTACAAGAACAACAATCAGCGTTTTCGAGTATCCTTCACATTTGGACGTCCGTGTCACTTCGCTGTGATGTAATCAGCCTCATAAGACGCACTAGGAAGGATGCAGCTTCTGGATTTGGACACAGCCTTTGACACGGTTTAATTTTTTCCATGCTCTTCACCACTTGAGCCAAAATGAACTTGGACCTGGCTAATGGACTCTTGTCTCATTCAGTTGCGATGAAGGCCATGAACAAAGTTGCGAGTCACATCAATGAGATGCAGAAGCTTCACGAGGAGTACGGATCCGTGTTCGACCAGCTCATAAACGAACAAACTGCAGACAAAAAAGAGGTGACATTCATTCTGTTCCATGTTTTTTTTACCTAAGAACCACTAAATTATCGATAATAATGTGAATTTTGTGTTTATTGTTTTAAATCTCAGGTACTTGACCTCTCAATGGGAGACCTGCTACTGCATTTAATTGTGATGTGGATGAATCCTCCAGTGTCTTTGGCCAGAAGCAAAAAAGGTCCTGAGTTAGTGACTTTTGGTAAGCACGGCATCAAATTCACTTTTTTTTTACTTAAATATGAAATTTATGTTGCTCTCCAAAACTGATGATGTTTATTTTTGTCAAACCGTCAGTATCAACTGCTTGAATATTAAGCTACAAAAACAGTACTGGGATATTTTCTACATGCAAACAGACATGCAGGGGTGGTTCTAGAGGGGGGCAGGCTGGGACCAGCTGCTATGTTAAGCCTCTTTTCAAAAACAACGCCGCCATTTTGCTGCAACGCCTGGGCAGCATCAAGGAGCCTTAGTTCGTATGAAAGTGATCAGACCATGGCAATAATGCGGTGCAATCGTGTCCTTTTTACAAAAATGACTGGAATAAAGGGGGTATGTGGGCTCTGAGCTGCCGCAGACTTTGGTTTATCTTGGACATAACGCGCTTTTTATTGCGATCGAAGCCACGCTGATGAAGTTTTTTTTTAACAAGCCACTCCTAAAGATGTTTGTCCTTCACAGTCCCCGAGCAGTCTCTGGTGATCTGACCTCCAGCTCTAACGGAGAGAAGCTCCTGGAGCTCTGCATCGCTTCAGTTTACTGTCTCAGCTGATTCTGTTTTAAAAGTGACACGGCCCGTGTTAACTTTCATTTTCAATATAGATTCCTGCCGGACCTCCCTCTGTTGCACCAAGGTGTAATATGCATTCACAAGTCCAGCGTTGTGACAATATTACTACCAATTTTGGCGGCGCGAATGCTGCAAAATTCCCGCATTGCCATGCCACCATGGCACGTTCATAAGACACAACGTGGCGGCAGTATTACGCTGACTTGCCGGCACGATGTGTCTTCTAAAAAAGGCTTTAGAGGGACACGTTTGTAAGAAAACACTATAAGCTGAATGAGTAAATATTTCAATTTTTGATGAGTAACAACAATATAAAAACAGCAATTCAGCTTTTTCGTTGTTTCAAAATAAAACTTAAAAAAGCTCTATCTGGGTTATTTATCTCAGTGATGATATACTTTTTGTCTCAGCATCTCTTTTCAACTTCATGTAAATGTCTTCACAGAAAAAAATCAGTTCTTATTGATGTTTAGGCTCTGCCTTCAGCAGGGGGCCACGAGGGGGCCCAAGCTTGCTATCAGGGTGGCACTGGCCCACCTTTCACCTCCCCTAGAACCACCCCTGCAAACAGATCCACAGTATTTATTTGTTTACAACTTCATAAGCAGCTTTAGTGCATGTTTAAATACTCACTCTTAAAACCACTGCTTATTCTTCTGTAACTGAATTGCAAACACCTGTTCATGCACGACAATTTAACTATATAATAAGTTTTATTTAACCACCCCGGAGCGGCTATGGCTATGCAGTAGCTTACTATCAACACCAATTCCTACTCATTCTAAAGAGCCTAAATGTAATAAAAAATACGGGTCACGTCTTTTAAAGCCATAAATAATGAATTGGAATGCTTTATTGGCTTGTTTTAGCCAGGTGACGTAAGTAGATGGTGCTGCTGCTTTGGTCTATTTTCAGCCCTGGCTTTATTTTTACTCCTGCGGCCATTGCACGTGATGTTTTTGTCGTAAATGACGTATTAAATTGTGAAAGCAGATCTTCATATCATCTGTTCTTTTTCTTCAAGTGTTCAGAACAGCTGTTGTATTTGTGTACAAAGGAAGCTCCAAGCACAGGAAGAAAATGGTGAGTTCCCTTATGTTTATCTAATATTAGTTTCAATGTTTGATAGTTTTGTTTACCTTATAAATCGATCACTGATATGTTTGTTTCTAAGGAAAAAAAAACATGATTTTTCCATGTGAATAAAAACACTCAAGACCATGCTCCTCCACATCGAGAGGAGCCAGTTGGGGTGGCTCGGGCATCTAGTTAGGACGCCTCCCTGGTGAGGTTTTCCAGACACGTCCTACCAGGAGGAGAACTAAAGGGAGACCCAGGACATGCTGGAGGGACTATGTCTCTCACCTGGCCAGGGAACGCCTTGGGATTCCCCCGGAAAAGCTGGCCCAAGTACCTGGGGAGAGGGAAGTCTGGGCCTCTCGACTTAGGCTGCTCCCCCCACGACCCGACTCCGGATAAGCAGCTATCCGGTTAAGAAAATGGATGGCATAAAAATAATCTCCTGGGAATCTAGCATCAGTTAATTTTATTATCACTAGGGATGGGTACCTTTGACATTTGAATCGATCCGGTACTACTTCCCGGTACCTACGAATCGATACCGGTACTTAACGGTACCAATTTTTGATACTTTTGAGTGTTCAATATTTTTAATTCTCTTTTATAATTAAATATATATTTTTCTCAATATGTAACCATATTTGATAAATATCACGATAAATAACATTCATCTGTTTGTATTTTAACATCGTCCTTGTAGTTTTATAAGTTGATAATTAAACTAAAGCAAACATCTTTACTATGAACTAAATTTACTGTGTATCTTCATTCCTTTTGCCATCCTTTTTCAATTGATTTTTCCTACTGGCAAGTTAGAATTTCCGAGGAGAAACTGAACGCACCATTAGCTGATAACAACGGTGGCAATGGAAGCTAACATATCAAGCTAACGTTATCTTAAACAGTTTATTTAACTGCTGGAACAGATTTAAACGATGATGCCTCACACTTAGATCGTTGTCACTGGTTTCATCTTCACCCAATCACCATTTAGTAAAGTGAAGTCAAACTTTAGAGCGCGTTCATGTTCTTCTAGTCGGAATTTCGGTATTCCGAGGAGAAAGCGAACGCTCCATTAGTGAAACGGAAGCTAACAAATCAAGCTAACATTATCTTAAACATTTTATTTACCTACCGGAGCTGCTCTATTTACAACTCGCTCGCAGCGACCGATGACATAACGCTCTTGCGCATGCGCAGCTGTCTAGGCAAGTTCTCGTTGTGAAGGACAGGTACCGAAACGAGGCACCGTTTCAAATGAAGTGAATCGGTGCTCGGTCGGTACTGTGGAATTCGGTCGGTACCTTAAAAACTACCGAATTCGATACCCATCCCTAATTATCACAGAGTTAATAATAATAATTATTATCATTCATTCTTGTTTTGGTGTTGCTGCTCGCTTGTGCTCCCTGCTGGTGCAGTAAAGAACAGCAGCTTTTCTTTTATTTAAGTATAATTTCTTTTTTCCTCTGTTTTTGTTTTCAGGGTGGATCTCACCGAGCGTCTGTGAATGACGAGAGGGATCCTTTCCCGTTTCGTCACATGATCTCAACAGAATCTCTGCAAATTCGTTCTTTACCCAGTAGGTTCCCTACGGCTCAGCATAAATAAAAACTTTATTTTTAAGTATAATTAACACATTAACAAAATAATCTGTTTAAAATGTCATCAGAGAACTTACTATACAACACAGGTTGCATTAATTGTGTGGTAAAGACAGATTTTGACATTTGGTCGAAGAAAAGTGGAAGATTTTGTGTTCTTTTGAACTTTTCTGAGAATTTATGCAATTAGTCACAATTTCTGTTACATTGATTTACCTTTTAACCTCTCAAATAGTGGCTCCAGAGCAGAGTTTTGCTCAAATTCCTTTCAATCTAACATAAAAACATCACTTCAGAGGGCAAAAAGGACCTTTATCCTGAGCTGATCCCAAAAATCAGTACTTTATGTTAAGCCAGAGTTTTCGAGATTGATAATTTATCACTAAAAATTAAATAATTGAACTAATCATGCTTCTCTTGGCTGATTCTCTTAGACTCTGAAGCATCAGCAGTTTGTGAAATAGTCCACATCAGGTCTGAATCTGAAGGAAGACCAGAGAGAAGCTTCCAGTTGTGCTGCAGGTATTTTAATTTTCAAAAACTGTTTATATTTTATTTTATTTCTCGGGTTATAAAATCTAATTAATTAATAACAGATATTATTTTACAAGAATTTCCTTTTGGTTTTATTGTAAAATGAGATTATTATTATTGTTGTTGTTGTTATTGTTGTTGTTATTATTATTATTATTGTTGTTGTTATTCGGCAGCTCTCCAGACAGCAAGAAGGACTTGCTGAAAGCCGTCCACTCCATCCTCCGGGAGAAGCAACGGCGCCAGCTTCTGAAGACGGAGTCTCTTCCTCCCAACCATCAGTACGTCCCGTTTGGTGGCAAACGCCTGAGCGCCCTTAAAGGTGCGCAGCCCTCCATGAGCAGAGCAGGTAACGGTTCATCCTCCAGGAATTTTCTGCTGATTTAATATTTCATTCATGAACATTTGTTTAACTTTGTTCAGCAACCGCTCCGTCCCGAACCCTGGCTCGAAGGAAACTGGTGAGGAATCTCATCACAATCGACACAAACTTGGATTTCCATGGCAACAACAACAACTCCAACGATTCCAACCCCGCGCATCCCTCGTCACATCCTTCCTCCAACTCACCGCTCTCCCATCGCAGACCCCGCCTGTCCCATAAACCCCAAGAGGAGGACACGGACCGCTGGGTGGAGGAGCAGTTCAACCTGGGCTGCTTCGAAGACCAAACTGAAGGCGTTGACATGAAGCAGGTGAAGGAGACTGACATCTTGAGTGATGACGATGAATACTGTAAATCTGTTCGAACTGCGACAGCAGAACTAGGAAACCTGGAGGCGGAGCTGGAAGGCCTCAGTTTGCAAGTCAGCCTGAATGGAGAGGCGGAGCTAAGTGAGAAGCGGGACTGCCACATGTCTGGACCGCGCCGCGTGACTTCAGGGGTCAAACTGGCGCCTTTGAAGCAGTGTGCTGTGGAGGGGGTCACAGACACGGACCAGGACGCAATCTGGGTACGACGGGACGACTTTAGTAACAGGTGCAACGGCGACGTCTTCTGATGGGACGTCGTAGAAGTCAGGATTAGTGATGTAACGTTCACGAACAAATCAAATCTTTTGAACGGGTTTTCAAAGTGAATGATGAGAGCAGAGTCCCTGTAGAGAGCTGTTCATCTTGCCTTCCGGTAACAAACCTCCCCGGAAGTCCGTAAAGAGCACCCGCTCAAACCCCACCCACCGCTGTGACGGACGTTGGAAGAACCCCAACCAACCCCGTGCGCCCTCACAAACATGGCAGGAACACGTTGCTCTTAATACCCCCCCCCCCCCCGGCTTCACTTTGTTCAAAGGAGCCAGTCTTTTGAACGGCTCTTTGACGTAAACGACCAACTAATGAACGGCTCCCATGAAAGAGCCATAACTCCCATCACTAGTCAGGATCTTCCAACCCTCCAAAAAACGGGGAAAAGTTACAGCTCTCTCTCTCTCTCTCTCTCTCTCTCTCTCTCTCTCTCTCTCTCTCTCTCTCTCTCTCTGAGCATTTCACACAACAGTTACAGTTTATGTAGAGAAAACAGCGCTACATGAGCACATGAGTGAATAAGCATGTGTGTTTATATTATGCCGACATGGAAAACTACTGACAAACACACACACACACACACAAACACACACACACACACACACCTATTTATGCTTCTCTGTCAGCAAGTTTGTGCTCACGTGTAACAACAGAGATGTTTTCCTTTTATACTTCTCAGCGTTGTGAAGCAATTCTCTGCCAGGACAGCAGAGGGCGTAGCGCTTTTCTGGGGAATCCTGCCATCAATGCAGTCATGTCTCTAGTGGTTTATATCCAAAGACCTGTAAACGTAGGCTCCTTGTGAATTTGTGCAGCCTATTGGAGCTTCCGTAGTGGCCAGCCACCATCTTAGATGGGTCTCCATTCACCCCCAGTGCATTCATTTCTACTGAAGAAGGCGGTTGCTTACCTAACTAAAAAACACATTTCATTATGCTTTTTCACAAAATCAGACACAAGGTATGGCATGATACTTAAAATATAATTAAACAAAATAAATTAAAATAAATTAAAATAGAAAATCCCATCAGGTAGGCTAGAAAAATTCTGTTTTCAACAGTATGCCAGTTGTAGTAATCGTAGGCTGCACAAAAACAGGCATCTCTGTTCAGACTTTGGAGAGTGAGGAAACCTATCCAATGTGATGGCGGCACTGTTACGCTCTCCAGCCCCCCATGGGGCGTCTACGGCCCAATCTCGATATTCGCACTGTTCCCCGCGGTCTTCAGCAAAGTGCACTTGTAGAAAGTGGGCTGTAGGGTTCGAGTGTGTGCAAATAATTGCCGATTGAGACAGGGAGCATTGCGTCATCGATCGCAACGCATGCCGGGATGCTAGTTGCTGTGAAACGTTTTTCAAAAACCTTCATTAACAAATTTCAAACAAACAACAAAGCAATCATTTGAAATTAATGTAACGTCATTGCTGCTTTGTCGAAAACATTCAGAGCATCAATTAATCATCCTAAAATGAATTAATTTGATTAGAAAATACAAATTTTCAGAAAAGAAACTTGAGCTATTTCTCCCGCAGCAATGACTTGTGGGTAATACCATGGACGTAATTTTGGGGGGGGGGACGGGGGGACATGTCTCCCCCACTTTTTCCAAAGTCAAGTTTTGACCCCTGCACTTTTTACCATCCAAAAACAATATTACGCTATATTAAATTGATACTGGTTGAGCTCTGGGACCAAGCAGAAAACAACCGTTTGTGTTGAAGCCGGTTTTCCATTAGAGCATACTGTAAAGACCCCCCCCCCCCCCCCCCCCCCCGTGTCCCCCCCACTTCTAAAGTGAAAATTGCGTCCATGGGTAATACCCTTGCCAGAGGTCCGCATCGCTGCGGACTTGGGGGATGTGCAGATTAAGGGTGCGACAGGGGTGTGGTCAAATTCCGCACTTGAGAATCGGGACAGCATACGCACTCGCACCCCTGGCCGGGAACGCGCAGTTGAAGGGTGCGAGGGTGCAAGTGCGAGTATTGAGACTGGGCCTATGTATTCATACAGGTGCTGGCCAGTAAATTAGAATATCATCAAAAGGTTGAAGATATTTCAGTAATTCCATTCAAAACGTGAAACTTGTACATTATATTCATGCAATGCACACAGACCAATGTATTTCCAATGTTCATTACATTTAAATTTGATATTCATAAGTGACAACTAATGAAAACTCCAAATTTGGTATCTCAAAAAATTAGAATATTCTGAAAAGGCTGAATATAGAAGACACCTGCTGCCACTCTAATCAGCTGATTTACTCAAAACACCTGCAAAGGCCTTTAAAAGGTCCCTCAGTCTTGTTTTGAAGGCACCACAATCATGGGGAAGACTTCTGACTTAACAGCTGTCCAAAAGACAATCATTGACACCTTGCACAAGGAGGGCAAGACACAAAAGGTGATTGCTAAAGAAGCTGGCTGTTCGCAGAGCTCTGTGTCCAAGCACATTAACAGACAGGCGAAGGGACGGAAAAAATGTGGTAGAAAAAAGTGTACAAGCTCTAGGGATAACCGCACCCTGCAGAGAATTGTGACGACAAACCCATTCAAAAATGTGGGGGAGATCCACAAAGAGTGGACTGCAGCTGGAGTCAGCGCTTCAAGAACCACCACGAGGAGACTCATGAAAGACATGGGATTCAGGTGTCGCATTCCGTGTGTCAAGCCACTCTTGAACAAGAAACAGCGCAAGAAGCGTCTCGCCTGGGCCAAGGACAAAAAGGACTGGACTGATGCTGAGTGGTCCAAAGTTATGTTTTCTGATGAAAGCAAGTTCTGCATTTCCTTTGGAAATCAAGGATCCAGAGTCTGGAGGAAGAGCGGAGAAGCACAGAATCCACGTTGCATGAGGTCCAGTGTAAAGTTTCCACCGTCAGTGATGGTGTGGGGTGCCATGTCATCTGCCGGTGTTGGCCCACTCTGTTTCCTGAGGTCCAGGGTCAATGCAGCCGTCTACCAGGAAGTTTTAGAGCACTTCATGCTTCCTGCTGCTGACCAACTTTATGGGGATGCAGACTTCACCTTTCAACAGGACTTGGCACCTGCACACAGTGCCAAAACCACCAGCACCTGGTTCAAGGACCATGGTATCCCTGTCCTTGATTGGCCCGCAAACTCGCCTGACCTTAACCCCATAGAAAATCTATGGGGTATTGTGAAGCGGAGGATGCAATACGCTAGACCCAACAATGCAGAGGAGCTGAAGACGACTATCAGAGCAACCTGGGCTCTCATAACACCTGAGCAGTGCCACAGACTGATCGAGTCCATGCCACGCCGCATTACTGCAGTTATTGAGGCAAAAGGAGCCCCGACTAAGTATTGAGTGCTATACATGCACATTCTTTTCATGTTCATTCTTTTCAGTTGGCCAACATTAGAGAAACAAACATTTTTTCATTGGCCTTTAGAATATTCTAATTTTCTGAGATACCAGATTTGATGTTTTCATTGGTTGTCACCTATAAATATCAAAATTAAACGTAATAAACATTGGAAATACATTGGTCTGTGTGCATTGCATGAATATAATGTACAAGTTTCACGTTTTGAATGGAATTACTGAAATATTTTCAACCTTTTGATGATATTCTAATTTACTGGCCAGCACCTGTATATCCACATTATAACCCTTGAGCTTTTGCAGGAAAAATGCGACAGACTTCCGGTCTGTTTGTTTACATTGAGACGATGCGATCCCTTTGCGCTAATCTTCTTTTTATGAGCTTGTAGAGACGGAAACATGTGTGAACTCCAGCTGTCACAGCTCAAATGGGACATTGTTACACTCCTTCTGTACTAACAAGTTGGGAGGATGATCTTAAAATCTGGCCAAAGCTAATGCACAGTAGCATTTTTAGCTACTTCCTGAACTCAACCGCATCAGACAGCGATGCAGTCAACACTCCTCCGTGCAGTCGCTGCTTCTATACTCACATTTCCTGACACAGTGAAACATTTTCTCCAGTCACAGATGTATAAAAGTTTTATATCGTCAGGCTTTTTCCGTGAGACCTTCTTCAAGAAACTTGGGCTCTGTTCCACCCGTCCTTGCGAGCCTGGTGGAGAGCTCTTACAACAATGAATGCCGGTGTTCCGTGTCTTCGCACCGACGCAGACACGGAAGTATAAACTAGGCTTTAGTCAGCGACTTTCTGGCCAAAAAACACTTTCTAACACGGGATTGTGTTCTATTTTTCTGACTCGGCTGTTTTGTAATTGAACACTTAAAGGGCTGTGTGTGTGTGTGTGTGTGTGTGTGTGTGTGTGTGTGTGTGTGTGTGTGTGTGTGTGTGTGTGTGTGTGTGTGTGTGTGTGTGTGTGTGTGTGTGTGTGTGTGTGTGTGTGTGTGTGTGTGTGTGTTACGGACCACCTCCTTAACAACTGCTTTGTATGAAACTGGTGAAATCCAACCAGCTTTAATGTGCTTTTTACTGTTTTCTTTAACATCAGCTGCACCTCGGGGATAATGTCTTGTACATAAATACTTTGAAGCTCACATCATCTCTTATCATATCCTTATGAAAGAAAAAAGTTAATTTAATATAGCCTTTAAAATAATTACTGTAATTTTATTGTTTACACTATATTAAACTGCCCGGCGTTACAAACTTCTGTTGTGTGTTTTGGTGCCAGAAAAGAGCTCCTTTGTCATAAAAGTCTTTTTTTTTATGTTTGGTAGTTTCTTTTTAATATCATGAAAACACTGGAATCCAGTTTTCTCAAAAAATTTCCCCATCATTCCCATAATATTAACTCCGTGCCGTTTACTCGAGTTTTCTCAGTTTTAACTAGTTAGTCATCTTAAACTAGATGATTCCACTTCCCATTCCTGTGTTTTGCTTTTCTCCACTAGGAGGCGCTGTTTCACCCAGCTGAACACAGCAGGCGTGCACCTTAAAGGATGAAATAAACACTGAGCTACTCAGTGGGTGGAGCCTGTATTGTTCGTAAACTCTTTATGATGCTGTTTACTGACATCCGATGAGGACTTGACTGTGAGGTACAATCACCTGGCCTTGGAGGCAAACCCTGTGAAAATCTCTTCCACTCTAATCTTTGTACTTTTTAAAGAGAAGTTGTTTGTACTTAGAAGCTGTGGAAAATTATTGTTTTTACGTTGAAATAAATTTTCTCATTAAAACATTTGAGTTCCTTTTTATTTCTCAAAACATTTTTCTGAATTTGGCACTTTTATAAAAAGTTATAATGTATGGCAATTTTGCTTGCCCTACAGGCAGATTCTTTCTACAAAATGACAAATTATACATGTTTGTGGTCCTCAGATCTACATTGAGGATACTCTTGAATAGGCTTGCATGATTATCTGAGTTAATTAATTACACAGATCCTTAGAAAGATCCACCATGATTGTCAGGAGAAATTAGTAAATGATTACATTTGAGCTGGAAACGGGCCCCTTTTTGTTCTGATTAATTTCTCTGACCTGCTGATAACAATTTTGACTGATTTCAATTATTAATATCTAAATATTATAATTAAAAGAGTAGTTTTTTAAAAATTGTGCAAAACCTTGACAACATATAAAACTGCAGTTGGAAGAGCCGTTTTGCAGGTGTGTGTGATCTGGAACAATGAATGGATGGACAACTGCTCACTTCACTACAAGTCCCATTCCTGTTCTTGCTTCTTCTCCACCAAGAGGCGCTGTTTCACCATCACCCACAGGAGGTGTGGGCATTTGAAAATAAACTAAACACTTAACACTAAAATGTGAAAGAGGAAGCTGAACTACTGAGTGGAAGGAGCCTGTACTGTTCCTAAACTTCACCACAATTACCTGGTCCTGGAGGCCACTCTAATCTTTGTACTTTTTAAAGAGAAGTTGTTTGTACTTACTTATTTATCATCTTGCTCTTTTCAAAATGTATAATGAATTACATGGTATGCTGCATAATGTTTCTACAAAAAATGACAAATGAGCATGTTTTTGGACAATACTCGGGAAAAGGCTGATAAAGTTAGATGTTTGGTTGTTCTGAAGAGTTTCTGTGCAAAAGTTGTTACCATCTAATCTTAGATGTTGGATTTTACTTCTTCAGCATTCTCTGTTCAGAAAAACAACTTCACATCCTTTAGGACCAAAAGAAGGAGCAATGATCAAAAAATCATAGTTTTTGCAGATTTATTTTAAAGGAGACATATTACATTTTTCTCAAGTTATAACAGTTCTATGGTCGATACGAAACATGATGAAGAAGTTCTTTGCAGAAAATCTCTTCCTCATGAAGCAATTTCAGCTGTTTCATGGTTTACCCCAGGTTTCCACTGTCACACCCTGTCCTGTCTCCCCATTTGGTTCAGCCTGCGTCTCTGTTAATTGCTCCCACCTGCCTCTCGTTTTCCAATCACCCAAGCTCCCAGCCCTCTTGTATTTAAACCCCTTCAGTTCTGTGTCTCTTTGTGGATCATTGTTTCATTATCCAGCGTGTGTTCACTATTAAAGACTCCAAACTCATTCTGGTTTGTCTGCCTGCCTGCCTGCCTGCCTGCCTGCCTGCCTGCCTGCCTGCCTGCCTGCCTGCCTGCCTGCCTGCCTGCCTGCCTGCCTGCTTCCCTCACCCGCGTGTGAATCCTTGTATCTGCCTCACTCACCGGCAAGCGCTGACATCCACTAGACTTGAAAGCATTGCGAAACAGCTACCGAACATACTTCATGGGAATTAGCTGCTTTTAACCTGGATGTGTTTCTTTCCATCAGCAGCAAAGAGTAACATTTTAAACACATCCCAGAAGTGTAGGGACGATGTCATTATGCTTTGAGAGTTTACTTTTTTGTGCTACACTTCCAAAACATGTTAAATTACACAATTTAGATCAGGCCAGACAGGAAGTCAGACACAAAAGCAGGTTAAACCATCCGCAAGCAATCAAAATAAAAGTCACGTGCAGATAAACACATGACATTTCCTGTGAAACCTCTCTAGTCGATGCAACCACCACAGAAAATAAACCACAGACCTTTTGTCTTTCTACTTGCTTATTTTTGTGTGGAATTCTGAAATCTCTCATGGTGTTCAAATTCTCCCGATTTTGTGACTTGGTTGGATCAGCGGTGTGGAATGCTTTGCCTCCCGTTTTGCAGCAGAATTGCACTCAGTTGTAAGGGAACTCTCTGGAAAGCCGAGGTCAGGCTCTGAAGGGCCCAGGTTAAAATCCCGGACAAGCCCCCACTTTCTCACAACCTGGCTCAAATCCACGACAAACAGGGGGGAGTGTAAAAGGGTATATATTTAACAAAAACAAACAAGGCAAAAATGTCCTGCACCAGATGTTTGTGTGTAGGGAAGAGAGGCTCTCTCCATCAGACTCCCGGTAAAGTTGATTTTAGGCACAGGTGTCCTCAATCATCCTCAGACGATCCTGCCCAAGGTGCAAACATCAGGAGTGGAAAAGCAGGTTGTCACAACATTTTCAGTACATTCCAGAATGATTCGTTTCAGGGCTTTGCCATTTAAAGATAGCTAGCTGTAGCTAGCCATAACCACCCCTCCCTCACCCAGGCTTAACATAAGCTAAGACGCTTTGATATTTGGAGGGGGGCAACTTGCTCTTGCACATGAAAGGTGGTTCAACACCAATTTTTCTGTTTGTGACATCACAAACAGGGACATTTTGAAATGGCTTGTTTTGGGCACATAATTCTTAAAACCAAACACTGACAGAAAACTTATTGACAGGGTTTTGGTGTGTTTATAGAGGCAGTTGAATCCCAATTTAGCAGCACAAAAGGATGCAAAAAGTGCATCAAAGGTTCCATTCATACATTTATTATTTATATGGGATGAAGTGCTTCCTGTGCATACTGGGAATACTTTGAATTATCTAACTTTTCTTTGCTATACATTTAACATTAAACTGATGGTGATGTAAAGATTTATGAAAAAGCAGCATAGTGTGAAATGTTGGCACTAGTCATTTTCTGAGAGAATATTTAGCATTTCTACAAAAGCGCACCTCAAAGCAACTTCTTTTGAATTCACGGCTATTTCTGAATTTCCATAGCTTCACATGAATAGAATAGAATAGAATAGAATATACTTTATTGTAATTGCTCATGGCAATTAAATTACAGATGGTCTGCCATCAACAGTGCACAAGACAACAAATAACAATAAATATCAAAACCATAGAGGACTAAAACAATTTAAAAACATTTAGCAAACACCAGTGCAGTGCAACCAGTGATTCAGATCTGCTAAAACAACAATTTAAAAGGATTTAAAACAGATTAGTCCACATTACTGATGGGGATGTGGGGGGGTTGAATTGTGCTGTTGTGTTGAATGTTCTGATGGCCCAAGGGAAGAAGCTGATGGAAAGTCTGGTGGTATGTGATTTAACTGACCTGAAGTGGCGCCCTGAGGGCAACAGGTCAAACAGGCAGTGGGCAGGGTGGGTGGGGTCACGAAGGATAGCAGCGGTTCTCTTCAGGCAGCAGGTTCTGGAGATGGCCTCAAGGGATGGCAGGGTGCGGCCAATAATCCTCTGGACAGTGTTTATTGTCAGGGATTCACTGACTAATAAAGTCATAAATCAATACAAGATGCAGAGGAGTCATCATTCTCTCAAGTGCTATTAAGCAAACCACTATTACAGTGTTTACTGTTTTAAATTAGATGGTTTCTAGAGCATTTGAATTGGATGTAAATTCATCCCATGATCCAGTTTGATAAAAAATAAATAAATAAATAAAACAGAAGCTGTGAGAGTTAGTACCGTGGCATGCATTTGACCTGAAGATTATTCTCTGCTCATTAGCACCAGTGCAGAGAAATTCTGCCAATCCATCTGCTCCCTAATCCAAAACGACTGAAGTCAGTTTGAACCCACAGGTAGTTTCAAAATAAAAGTTGCAATTTTCACTTTGATAACCACAACAATGAATTAGCAAACATAATTGTTTGATTAACGAAATTTAATAAATGTGTTACAGAATTCAGAAGAAGCATATTATGGTATTACTATTTCAAAACCAAACCGTGAATTGTGAAGCTAAACGTAATAAGAAGAAAAATGTCGCTAATATTTGTTGCTTAAAAACTTGTCTTATTTTGAAAATGTACAGGAAGTTGAATTCTGCTGCGCCTCTCAGCTACCCGAACGCTGCTTTGGTCTTGTGGAGGCGCACGGGCTGTTGGACGCGGTTTAAACGCTGGCACTTTTTCCTCTAGAACTTTTGACCTAATTTTAATTTTTGCATGTTGGATCCGGTCCCCCGTGTGTTTCCAGAAATAATCTCTGGTGTATTTTGAACATCGGAGTGTTGATCGAGGAGTTGGGAATAAATAAATAAAAGAACACCTTGCATTGCGCGCTGGAACATGGCTCATCGGTGGAGTTTCCGCTCGGATGGAGGCTGTTTCAGTCTGGTGTGGTCCCAGTATTCCCACTGAGCTCGGCTGGGAAACTATGGAGCAAAGAAACAGACTTTTCTGCTACATTGTCTTCGCGGCGGAGCTCTATCTGGGCTCGACCCAGGTCCTCAGGATCGGTAAGCGCAACAGCTGTTTACGCAAGGTGCCGTTCGTTCTGGTCACCCTGCAATGACCCAGAACCAGTCTGTCTTATTTTCTGTTAGAAGCTGGCTGCATCATTTAATCTCTGTCATAATCTTTGGCAAAATGTTTGTCATCATTTCTATTTATTGTAGATTTACATTCCTCACAGTTAAATTGAGCCATTTAGCCAGTTTCTTTCCCCGGAAGCAAAATATTAGATATTAGGGGTTTCCATTTGAATCAAACAGTAAGATAGAGTTCAGATGTGACCCCAGTGATGCAAGTTGAAGAAAAAAGGAAAACAAATGTTCAGTTGCAAACTTCAGTCATTGCTTCAGATGTTCCAAAACAGTATTATGGAAAGCAGTTTATCCCTTTAATTATCTTGTCGTCATCATAAGTTGGTGAGCTTCATACTAAAGGACACGTTTGTCCTGCTTAACAAAACAAAAGTTCACTGATGTTTATCAAGTTGAAATCACACATTAGACAGCCATGGCCACTATCATGTGTGAAAACGGTTGCTTTTGCAATTTACCTAACAGCATTTTTAATTTTTGGCACCATAATTCAACACGCTTAGAAACAACGATGAAGTCAAACACATCTCTGAGTAGAAAACTTGAAGAAAAATAGGAATTATGTGTACTTACTCCATTTTCTTCACATCTCAGACCCAGACATGTGTCAGTTTAATACCGATTTCATCTTTCTGCAGATTAGCGCAAGTCTCTGGGTGGCCAGAAGTAAAGGTCACATGACAACATTTTTACCAAAATGCCAAACACAAAGGGATTGTCCAAAAGCTGCAATTATATATATATTACTAGAGAACCTCATATTTTTCATGTGTTGGATCTTGTTGTGGCTTGAACAAAGATTTGTTCATTGGTGATGATGTCCAGCTGCACATGCAGAGGATTTATGATGAGGGGCTTTAGCTCTGGGTCACGTATTAATATTCAGGGGCGTTCAAGACCAATCCGTTCAGCTTCACTCGCTTCAGCTGAGATCCTTTGAACAACACGAGTCCTGAAATTTCAAACTCCTAAAGATTTGCATACATCGATGCTGTCAGTGTGTGTGTGTGTGTGTGTGTGTGTGTGTGTGTGTGTGTGTGTGTGTGTGTGTGTGTGTGTGCATGAGTGAGGAGTTGCTGAAGTGTAAATTTGAGCTTTTTAGAGCTTTTGCCTTCTGATGAGGTGACTTTAAAAAACGGCTGTGACAAATATTCCCTAATTTTCCTTCATAGCCTACATATTTGTTATCTTATTGAGAAACAAATAAATCTTTTATTGTTGTTGTTGGAGTAGTATGAAGTTAATTTCACTTCTGTAAAGGAAATATTGGCGTCTCTGTTAGATGCTGGCTGGAAACCAGAATTTTTGTCTCCCAGAAGAAAAACAACCTAAATCTCTAATGGAATTACACATCTAAATCAGTTTAATAGTATTTATTCTTGCTTTGCTTTAATGAGACATCTTTATTTGTGCAGCTATAAAGTTGAAGCCACAGATGGTATTTCTGTTCTTTAGCTCCCTTCGTTAGTTTCTTAGGGAACAATTTGCTGTAATGTTTAAAAACCAGAAGCTAAATGAAGCTGCGACAGGCGCATTGTTTCAGTTTATGGGTCAGTAATGCAACAGTTTCCCTGCTTTCCCCTCCTACTGGTTTAAAGTGGAATTACAACCATCATAAAAAAAGATAAAGTTAAAGGGTGAGCAGTTACAGTGCAGAAGGTGCAGTATAAGAACAGTCATTCAAAGGCTGATGAATACATGAAGGTTTTCAATTTTCATTTTAAAGGTACTAGAGTTGGGGCACATTTGAGGTCATGAGGAAGCTGATTCCATCTGAGTGCAGCATAGTAGCTAAATGTAGCTTCACCCTGTTTGGTTCTGACCCGGGGTTCTACCAGCTGACTGCTTCCTAAGGATCTTAGAGCCCTGTTGGGTGTATATATTTATACAGAATGAGCTCAAACACTTATTCTGGCCCAATGCCATTGAGAGATTTATAAACTACTAGAAGCACTTAGAAATAGATTCGGTAGTTTACTGGTAACAAGTGTAGAGATTTAAGAATAAGAGTGATGTGCTGTGTTAAGACTCTAGCAGCAACATTCTGAACAAGCTGCTTTTTTTGGGAAGACCAGGATTACTTACAGGTCCAGCAGCAACAAAGCCAGGTCACCATCAGTCCGTTCTTTTGTAACTTCCTTTAGCTACCTCAAACTTTCTTCAAATGTGTTTCTCTCTTACTTTTCCTTCCAGGCTCCGCCATGATGCAAACAAAGAGATCAAAATTCTTCTTCTGATTGTGCTTGATATTGACCACCAGTGAACTGAAAAAGCTAACAGCTAGCCTTTTTATTAGCTAGCAGCACAGTAAACAGTTATAGGGAGCCCAAGTCTCCTTCCTTTCCGGTCAGCTCATGGGTCCCCGGAAGAACGAAAACATGAATGCAAGTCAACGGGGCTAAAAGCGCTATTTTCCAATCCGCTTTGCCTTACACCCTGGATCACACATATGTTGTACTGCAATTTAAATGAAAGTAATGATGGGTGTTTCGACTATGCCAGTCACATACTTTGAGATTTATGAGCTTGTAAAAGTTCGTAATTAGCATGACTACACACCAGAAATCAGCCCGTCGCAAATGTGACGTCACCACATAATCTCCTCTCCCCTAACAAAGCTGCTACTTATCACATGGCCAGATTTATGGTGGTTCTTTCCTCCTGTGGGAAGTTTGCAGAACTTTAAGTCCTTTTCCCTCAGTTTTCTCCATGTTTGGTTCGATGACGTCACTTTCGTGAACCGCATTTGTAGTTCTGGAGTTATTTTCACACAAAACCTAAAATACCCCCCCCCCCCCCCCCTTTCCGTTCGAAATTAAGCATGTTCTTTGTACAGCACGTGTCAAAATGCTTCTTTAAAATTCACAGACATCATTTGTGAAATCCATGGCACGTAACAGGAGGAATTAGAAAATAGCGTTTTTAGCTCCATTGACTTGCATTCATTTTTTCGTTCTTCCGGGGACCCGTGGTCCGGAAGTAGATGGGTGTGACTGAGGATCCATATTATCGTAAAGCAGACAGAGACCTCCCACTAGAGCTCCTACCCAAACCACAAAGCTGTTTAGTGCAGATTCTGGTCAGCAGAAGGCTACAAAGTGCAGTCCAATGTAAAGTTGGTCAAGTTTTTTTGTTTAAAAACCACTGAAACTAATTTGAAAGCCTCCCGACTCCTTACCCATCCATCTTTACTCTTCAGAAACCTGTAACTCTCTCCTTCAGTTTTTTAATGAGAAGGTCAATAGAATCCATCTTTCTTTACCTCATTCCTCCCCTCCCTCTCCTGATTTATTTGAACCCACCATTCCATTCTCCTCCTTTGAACTTCCCCATCCCTCAGAAATATTAGATTACATCACCAAATCCAAACCTTCCACCTGTCAACTGGACCCTATTCCAACTGTTTTAGTTAAATCGTGCCTTTCTTCTCTGCTCCCTTTTATAACAGCCATTATTCATTCCTCACTATCCTCTGGTACGGTCCCCTCCCTATTCAAATCCGCTTCAGTCAGCCCTATTCTAAAAAAACCTGGTTTAGATCCCAATGATTTCAATAACCTCCGTCCCATTTCCCATCTTCCCTTCATTTCCAAAGTCCTTGAGAAAACTGTTGCATCTCAGCTCCATTCACATCTCACCCGCAATAACCTTTATGAACAGTTTCAGTCTGGCTTCCGTCCCCACCACAGCACAGAAACAGCTCTCATCAAGATCACTAACGACCTACTCATTGCTGCTGATTCTGGTTTAATCTCTATTCTTATTCTCCTCGATCTGAGTGCGGCCTTTGACACAATTTCTCATCCCATCCTCCTCAATAGACTCTGTTCCTTAGGCATCACTCACACCCCCCTCAGCTGGTTTCAATCTTACCTTACTGGCCGCACTCAGTTCATCCAGTTAAAATCCTTTACCTCAGAACCCTCCCCAGTCAAGTCAGGTGTGCCCCAGGGCTCTGTCCTGGGGCCCCTCCTCTTCATAGTATATCTCCTCCCTATCGGCAAAATCTTCCGCAAATTCAATATCCAGTTTCACTGCTTTGCAGATGACACCCAGCTCTACATTTCCAGTAAACCCAACTCAACTCTCCCACCATCCTCCCTTACACTCTGCCTCTCTGAAATCAAATCATGGTTCACCTCTCATTTCCTCAAACTCAACGGCAATAAAACTGAACTTCTTCTTGTTGGCACTAACTCCACCCTCTCAACATCTGACAGCTTTTCTTTAACTATTGACAGCGCCACAGTCTCCCCCTCACCTCACGTCAAGAGTCTGGGTGTCATTCTCGACAGCTCACTTTCTTTTCAGGCTCACATTAATAACTTAATTTGGTCAGCATACTTCCATCTACGTTCCATTAACCGTCTCCGTCCCTCACTGACCCCTCACACTGCCGCCATTCTTGTCCACAGCCTCGTCACCTCCCGTATCGACTATTGCAATTCACTTCTTTATGGTCTTCCCAACAAACTCCTTCATAAACTGCAACTGGTCCAGAATTCAGCAGCCCGTATTATCACCAGAACCCCTTCCTTTCACCACATCACGCCGGTTCTCCAGCAGCTTCACTGGCTCCCAGTTAAATTCAGGTCCATCTTCAAAATTCTCCTCCATACCTTCAAAGCAATCCACAACCTCTCTCCTCCATATATCTCAGACCTTATAAGTATTCACACCCCGTCCCGTTCACTCAGATCTTCTTCTTCCATCCATCTTGTGGTTCCTTCTGCCCGTCTCGCTACCATGGGGAGCAGAGCTTTCAGCCGCTCTGCTCCTCGACTCTGGAACTCACTTCCCCCAGACATCAAGAACGTCGACAGTTTTACCCTTTTCAAAACAAAACTCAAAACACACATGTTTAAATCTGCCTACAACCTCTGATTTTATTGAAATGTTTCTCTCAGTTTTTT